CAGAAGTTCTCTCTCTCCCATTTACTCTGTTCTCCTGTGCACAAAAAAAATCAAGGCTAACTGGTCCAGGGAGAGGAAGGACCCATAATGTGCTTGTAACTATGGTTTCTGTTATGTTTTGGTAAGGTGGGATTCAAACTGGCCGGTGCCTTCTCCCACATTTGGGTCTGCTTTTTGACCCATCTTCATTCAGTGGAAGCCACAACTTAAAGCAGTTGAACTTTAAAAGCAAATGGAGCTTTGCTTAATTTTTTGAGAGAAGAAGATCCTCGCATGGACTCAGTCCAGCTCTTTCCCCAAGCCCTAACTCAGCCATTTATCAAAGGGATTTGAGTCGAAGACTTTATGCTCCATGCTGTCAGTGGGGTTGGTTCCCCACTCACTTGTCAGCATGAAGCTTTTCTGATCTCCATCCTGAGAAGCCTAATATTTGGTGCTGACTTCTCAGCCACTGTGATTCTTATCCTTAGCTTGTCCAGCATCATCTTGGATGTTACTGGTCAGACTACAGAAAACCACCACAATTTACAAAATTGTTACAAGCCAACACTCATTTTGTTTTTCCTCAATATACTGGGCTGCAACTTGTGCCTGTTAACAGCTTCTTCAAGAGCTGCTAAGACCTCTTTGAATCTTTATCTGGGACTTGCTGGGAGAGGGAAACACAGACAGCAGGTGGCCATAACGACAGGGTGTCAGGTACTTCCCAGTGAGCTGTCTGCACGTTTAAACTGTAGACCTCAGCCTCCTTTGTTTCTGTGAGGAAAGGAAGCTTGGGTCTCTAGTAGTGCAAGCCTTAAGTTAGACATGGCAGCATCTAGCATTTAGCCACATTATGGCTCATACTGAAGTTCTAGATTAATTTTTAAATTTGAAATGAAGATTCTTTTTAGTCTTCGAGAACGTTCTTCTCCCTAAATCATGTCTTAGAGTCAATCTTCTATGGATTCTAGATACAGCCACTGCAGCCTTCAGTTCCTCAAAGACTATTCCAGAAGTAGCTGGTGTCATTACTGAACAGCAAAGGGCGAAGCCTATGTAGCTAATTTCTGAAGTGACATGATTTGTAGTCAGCTGCCCAAGCCATATCTCAAAATATATGCATGGATGCATATACGGCTGTCACAGGGATTATGAGTTCTAAACAAAAAGCAAAAATTGAAAGGATAGTTGTGTATCCACTGGAAAATGTCATTTCACATGACTTCTTTGTTAGGATGATACAAAGAAGCAGAGGTCAAATCACATTTATGAACAAAATCAAGCCAACTGATATGTGCCAGCAAATGAAAATATCTAGTTCCTACCAGACAAGTGGGGAACAATGGTTAAATAAATAAGTAATATGTGTTAAAAGAGCTGTCTGTTAATATGTTCTTGCAAACTTTGTAGCTGCACTGAGAAACATTTTCAGTCTGTTGATAAGAGCTCAAAAAACTGTCCTAACCAGCCACATGGGCGAGGAGATGTATGCTGTGAAGCAGCCTATGAAGGAAAGGCAGACAGTGAGAAGTAAATGGAGTGCAGTCGGAGTAAATTGTATTTTTTCACTTGATGGACAGCAGCTCCCCAGGGCAGGGGATTGTGGTGAACGGAAGAATATCACACAATCATAGGATCATAGGGTTAGAAGAGAAGGCAGGAGGTTTCTAATCCAAACTGCTGCTCAAAGCAGAGCTCCAAGGTCAGACCAAGCTGCACCAAGTTTTGTCACGTCTAGTCTTGAAAATATCCAAGGATGAAGACTGTGTAACCTCAGCGCAATGTATTCCAGTGTTTCACCACCCTCATGATGGAAAAGCTTTTCTTTATATCCAAGCAGAACCTCTTGTTGTTTCAGTTTATGACTGTTGTTTCTCATCCTCCTGTCATGCACCACTGAAGAGGCTGCTCTGTCTTCTTGAGGAACTGGTACATGCTGGAAGATGTCATTTGCTTTATGTTCAATGCACAGTCTTTTGCTCTCTCTGCCTCACTGGGTACATTCCTCTTGTAGAAGAAAGGGTCAGAGTTTGCAAGCTGAACTTGTCAGCTGCCAACAATGTAAACTGTATTTTAGCTGGAATCTGAAGTTCAAGATAACAGAGACTCCAACTCAAAGCATCAGAATCTACTACCCTTTTCATCTGGTAGTCAGCCAAACTGCAGAGACCGTGAGAGAGTTCTGGAGGACTGTGCAACTGGCAGCATCAGAAGGAATCTGCTGGTTTGAGATTGTGGTTGAACATTCCCTGGTTGCCATTTTTCCTGCAAGAGCTGCCTTTCCCACAAACCAAGGCCCTTTGTCCTCTCAAGGCACAAGTTCAACCTCTAGTCAAACAACAGGTCCAGCAGCACAACAGCAGCGTATCTCCTGCTGCAGGTAATAACCTTTGGGGCCCAGTGGCTGAGCAGCTACAACCTATAATTTACAAGCATTCGTGGCATTACTGGCATCCGTTCTGTGTTACGTATTTTTATGTACTGCTGCTGGTTTTGCTAATTGGCTGCATAGCATAATTATGCATGCAACAAAGATGCATGCCAGTTTGGATTTGGCATGTGTATCTTTGCCATTTTTGGAGCTTTTTGAGTTTACCAGGGATATTTTTTTGATTTTTCTTTTTAACTAAGTAGAATCTATCTACCTACCTTCAAGTTCTGCCCACCTCAGCTGAACCTCACTCTTGTTTTCACTCTCAACATGTGCAGTTCTCACCACTCCTGAGCTCAATATAATGCCCATGCAGTAAATGGTTGTTTTCTTGCTACCTGTGAGCTCTCTCCTTGGCTGTGGAGTGAGATGCTCAGTAACAGCTAACAGTGAGGTGGGGTTTGGTTTGGAGCAGCTCCTTCCACCTCCCTACAGATGTAACTTTGCATTCCAGGTCTGCTCTACTTCAGATCTCGCCATGTCAGGCTCATTTTTCTCTGACTCCAGTTATTCTGAGGAGCATTTGTAAGACGTGATACTACAGCGTTGGCTTTGTGATTTGATAATGTGTATAGTGGGTTATTAAGGCCATGTTTCCAGACTCAGGAGACAAGAAACATGCAGGATAGATATTGCATTCCTTATGCTGCGTATCTTTAAACAGGTAGCACCAGCAAAGGGGAGACAGTAAAGGAAATACAGAAACAAAAAGAGGGGGACAGGAAAGGAGCAGCAAAACAATGCTAAAGAGAACCCCCCACACACCCCTTCCAGGCCAGGCACTGGGGAAAATAGAAGCTGATACAGGAGGAAGTAGCTTTATTCCCCCTTCCTTCTTTTGGAAAACTTGGTTCTAGCTGCTGCCACCCCACATTCTTTAAGAAGCATCTGCATTGCTGAACCCTGTTCCCCCTTCCAAAAGGGAAGCCGGCAGCATTTATAAACTCTGTTATCAAGCCAAAACTTCTTTTCACCTGGGTGAATGGTATTTACTTAGCCTTTATAGGCTATTTATCTCATCTTCCTAGGAAGTGTGTAGATGATATAGCTCAGGGATACTTTTGCAAGGTATCAGCAAGCAATTTCAAATATCTATGTATAAAATAGATATGATTCAAGAGGGATAACAAAAATTCTTGCGTAGTAATGTTACTCCTTACACTGCCCTCCACAGTAGACCAAGCTGATTCATAGAAAATAGAATAGAATAGAATAGAATAGAATAGAATAGAATAGTTTGGGTTGGAAGGGACCTCTAAAGAGCAATGAGCAGGGACATCTTCAACTAGATCATGTTTCTCAGAGCCCTGTCCACCTGACCGTTCCAGGGCTGGGAAATCTACCACCTCTCTGGGCAACCTGTGACAGTGTTTCACCATCCTAATTGTAAAAAATGTCTTCCTTGTATCTAGTCTAAATCTACCCTTTTTTAGTTTAAAGCCATTACTCCTTGTCCTATTGCAATACCCCCTACTGAAAAGTTCATCCCCATCTTTCTTATGAGCCTCCTTTAAGTATTGAAAGGCCTCTATAAGGTCTCCCCAGAGCCTTCTCTTCTCTGGGCTGAACAACCCCAACTCTCAGCCTGTCTTCATAGAAGAGGTGCTCCAAACCTCTGATCATCTTTGTGGCCTTTCTCTGGACCTGCTCCAGCAGGTCCGTGGAAGAAGCAGTAAATAACCCCTTATTCACGTGTGAAAGAAGAATAAATGTTTCAAGAATTTGGTGCTGGAAAGAACCCCAAATTTCCAATTTACTAAAATAGGAGTTTTCAGATTGTGACTTTATTCAACACTGGAGTAGGACTACAACAATTTGTGAGAAAGAAACCAACTTTCTTTAAAACAATTGGTTGCACAGTTGTTTAGGAATCTGTTCAAGCAATACATAAATAAAGTTTATTAGTTTTCTATGCCTGATGGAGAGTATGATGGTAATTGGTGATTGATGTCGCTGTCTTTATCTCAACCTGAGCTTTTTCATCTTATTTCCTGCCCCTGTCCTGTTGTGGAAGGCATGTGATTCAAGGCATAGATGTATACTGTGTGTTATACTTGCATTTAAATGAACATAATATATTCCACCCGTGGCTAATCCATGTGATGTAAGAACATGCCACAAGCAATAACTAATAGTAATAGGACTGTATTTTAAGTGGTAGAAGCCGCTTGGTTGCTGCTATTGTTCAACCTGAGCATAGCTGATGCTCTTACCACTTTAAAAAGATGTAGGCATAGAAATATATACATTTTATACTTTTTCATTGTTGCTATTCTTACCTTATTCCTCCACTGATGTTATCATCATGTGAGGTCTAATTTAGATAGTAATCTCCAAAAGCCTTTGTCACTTTACTCTATTATGTGCCAGTCCTACACCTGTGGTGCTATATAAATGCTAATAATGCATCAATATGCTCATTCTTTTATAAGTTCTGTAGGTGGAATTCCATCTGGTTTGTACATGTCAAGTGAGATGTTGGTGTGAAAAGTCCTTGCTGTTCAGAATTTGTGTTGGCTTATGAGCAGTTGGGAAATGACAGAAAAAAAGATCACAAACTGGACGTGCTTATCATTTGTACAAAGCCACCGAGATGTGTGCTTAAGAGGGTGGCTGTGACTGGTGCAGAATCCCCAAGTGTAATTCTTCTCTAATCTCTGAAAAGCCTTAGTGAAGTAATTAGGACATTAACTAGTCTTTTCAGCTGTTTCTGAATATCTTCAGCTCAACCTCTATCTATTTAACAAAGTTTTGATACTTGGAGCACTGTCATTTCTTTGACAAGATGTATCTACTTCGGACTCTTGGGAGTGAGTGTTAAGAACTCAGAGCATGTCCAGGCTCCCAGAAAAGCTTTCCTTCCTTCCAAACTGGTCTCAGATGGACAGGTCTCCACTTCCAGAAAAATCAGCCTTGACCTCCACGTAGCTGTGCAGAACCTCACCAGCAGGGAGTGACGTGCAAGGCCAGGGTAAGTTTTTGCAAAATATGTTGATTCTATGAATCTGTGAAAGCATCTTGACTATTCCCTGAGCTGAGTTTGTATCCTTTCCCATGAGATAATTGTGGATTTGGCTGAATTAGACTAGGAAAACTTGATCCTAAGAACCTTGTAATCCAAAATGTAAAAAGCTAAAGAATATAGGAAATAATTTTGCAACTTTTCCCAGTTGCAAATTGGATGACATCTGGAAGTGTCTCCATTGGTTATTCTAAATTGTATTCTGAGCTGCTCTAAGTGTTCATCATTTGCCAAGAATTAATGTAGCCACAGATTACAAAGGGGAGGAATTCAATGTTCCCTTGGTAAAGAGAAAAAAACTTTCCCCTTCCTCCATTTCATCTTTTGGCCACTTTCACTGGAACAGATACTGATTGTGATTAAGCCCAAAACAGGAACTTTCAAAACCAGAAAGTCCTGATTATTAATAGAAATTAGCCCTCGTGCATTGCCTGGTGCACAGACTAAATGCGAATTTGTGGCAGAGACACACATACAGCTACGCACAAGCTGTTGTGTGGGGTGAGACTGAGAAATGGAAGTGGTTTGTTGCACTCAGAAAATCAAAGCGTCGTCACGCAGGGATTGAGGCTGGTGAGGCAGGAGGAGAGCTGAGAATCACAGGAGCTGGGCAGCCCCGGAGCTGAGGGCGGGAGGAGGAGGAAAAGGAGGAGGAGGAGGAGGAAGGCAGCTGCTTGCCTGCCCTCCTCGCAGCCTGCAGAGCTGCTGGCCACCGGTGTCTGAATGTCCAGGAGCAAGGCCACCCTCTGGACATGGCTGGGCTGCCCTGGGCTGCTGGGCTGCTTCTTGCTGGGCTTTCTTGCAGGTGAGTACGGAGACCCCAGGGCTCAGCCCGCAGCCTTTGCCCTCCAACAGGTATTTACATGCGACTCCTTGTTGTGATTAACTCCCCATCAGGGAGCTTTTTTCTGCTTTTTATGGACATTATAAAATACTCATTCCGCTGTTTGTCTAAAGGGTTGTTCTCTCTGCCAGTTTTGGTCTTTGGGGAGTGAGGAATAGAACGCTGTGTGCTTCAGCCCAAGAGGAGCCCTGCTGAACTGACAGCTTCCCGTAATGAGTAGACAGACATTCAAAGAGGAGAGATTAATTGAAAAGTTTGAGACGTCTGTGATTGCAAACCCTCCAGGATTATTTTTTTGCTGTTTGTGTTTCCTGATTTTTACTGAGGATGTGTTTAAATGCTTCTATTCAGTTGCTATTTTAGAAATGAAAGGGCAGAATGTAGAGGAGGAGGAGTTTTGACTGACAGCCAGGAGTGGAGTTGCTGAATTTTCCATCATGTACAATGAACTTCACTAGAACATTAAATTCTTTTCTGCAGTCATTTACGGCATTTGATTTTAAGTCTAAAATTGCACATCTGCATCTATGCTTTTTAAACTTTTGTTGTAGCACACACCTAAGGCTGAACCATGAAAGAAAATCCATGAGGTCTATTAAATATAAAAACTATTACTTTGATTTTGGTGGTCCCTGAGCTGCAAATTTCTGATGCTTGTGCTATTCTTATACGTTTCCCTGAACATCATATTTGGCCATGCTCCAAAACAGAATACTGGGAAAGATGGACCTCTGCTCTGATCCAGTGTCACTGTTATGTTCAGAGTGTTACTACAATTGCATTTAAGTCTAAAAGATCATATGGTTTGTGCATGTGACAGCATGTATACTTGTCTTTATTATTACAGTTTTCCCAGTTTGGTATTTTTGTAGCTAGAACAGTAAAAGGATTTGGTTTGGTTTGGTTTCTTAAGACAAATTCATGCAGTTGATATACTGTCTGCTTTCAGATTTATGGCAACTGAGAAATCTTTAACTTTAAAACTAATTAGGGTCACAGTTAACTTTTCTTCTTTAATTATTAAATAGACTGACCCCACCCTTCTCCAAATCTGTAACTATTATAGTGCTGGCAGGGTGGCTGTTGAACCTTAGATCTTCACTTTAAATATGCTTACGCACATATTTTTAAGTATATGTATAAATTAAGTAAGGGAATTTCATCACAAGTATCAGGAGTTCAGTCCTCCCACTGCACATAGTCAATTGTGAATTTGAACTATAGTTTAAAGTTAATGAGACATGAATCTGCCTTAAAAAGGGGACTGTATCTACCAGGTATTTATGGTGTGTTCTTTTAAATATATCCCTTTTTTGGCAATTAAGTCAATGAAGTATATTTAACTTCTCTGTTTCGCTTCTAGGAGCCAGCAAACACTGACAGAGGGTGCTCTAAGCCCTGTTCATTCTCATAGTTTTAGTGCAACTGTTCAGTACTTCAGGTTGCACATGGGCTCAAGTATGAGAGGGCTGGAGTTCTTGCTAAGCAGGAAGCTTTTCAAATGTGTTTCAGGATGGTTTACAAAACCGACCGAGAAAACGCCCAACTCTTCAGATGTCTATCAAAATGTGAGACAGAAACTTGTGGCTGAAATGAAAGCAGAAAACATCAAGCAATTCCTTCGGTAAGCCCTGCACATCTCTGTTTTTGAATCATTTTATCAGTCACAAAAGCGGGAAAGTGATAGCATCAGCCCCAAGGAACAGCTCTGAAAGCAGAGCTATTCAGACACTTTGGAAGTATTTGATTTGTACTGAATGTCTGGGGGAAGGAGAAGGGAGAGACTCACAACCTTTCTGTCCCCCCCCTCCCTATTTTTGAAGTTACCTTTTGGAGTGGTTGTGCCATTAAGGGTACTTCCCTCAAGGTATATTACTGCCAGTGCTTATCATGGTTTTTATTATGATTTTTCATAGTCTTGGTTTAGTGCAGTATAAACATCCTCACAACTGTCTGAAACTCTAACGTAAAATAACTTTGCTTTATCTCAGTCTGAGTCTATTTTACTGTGTTTGGGATACACCGATTGCTATTAATTACATTTGATGATAATCTGTCCAGTGGCCCCTTAGACTTTCAGGTTGAGTGGCTAATAACCCAGTCAGTCTAAGTAGAAAATTAATATATTCAAAATGCTACAAAGTTTGCATGGCAATGAGTTGCATGTATAGTTCCAAGTGATAATTCCTTTAGTGTGGCCAGATTGGATAATGTCCTGTCACTTGGGTGCTTAAGATCCCATTATTCTCTGTCTTCTGTTTCCGAAGGTGAAGGTCCCTGTCCAAGTGCAACATGTGTGTATGGTTGGTTAAGTCTTGCGTGGCACAATTGTTATTAAATAAACTTTTTTGCATCCTAGTGCATCCATATCTAAAATGCTAGGGTTATAGAAATACCCTCTTCTTTTGCTGTGTAATTCACTGGAAATGAAAAAAAAAATCATTCTTGTGCATATTTATATCTTCTACAGAAGAACAAATATATTCTCACAAAAAGTAAACTAATATAACCTCTGGTTAGTAACATGCTGATATTCAGCATGTAAGTCAGCAACTGCATCAGAAACATCAAAGGTTTGCTAACAAATTTGATTTCTGTACATTTATTCTTAAACTAAAATGTTTCATTTATAGTATCAATTAGCTTTTTAAGTCTATAGGCCTTATCTTATTTTGTATTTGTGGCTCTCAGTAGACTGAGAGTTTCTGAGATTGTGTTTGAGAGTCCAGGCAACATAGAGATTGATGACAGCATGAAATAACACTGCAATTATGCTGAAGTTTCTTGGCCATAGGGTGTTAATGGTGTCTGGTTTGTCTGCTCACTTTGATGATGGGCCAAATGCTTCATACGTTTTTTTTTCCCCCTAAATTCAAATTAAAAGCAGGAACTGCAGAAAAATGATACCAATACGCTATCCGAAAAGGTTGTTAGAGGCATAAAAAATGTAAACTTGAGAATTTTTAATTCTTATTCTTAGTTATTCAGACTACTAAATCTGTTTTTATCAAGTGGGGAAAAGAAACTTTGAGTCTTAGAAAATGCAGGCACCTTGACACTGAATCATAGCTCTGGGAAGGATAAAACTGTTTCGAAGTGAAAAATTGAAAAAAAGCATTGTGTGGTGTTCAGCCGATTTTTCCTGATGGCATATGTAGTATTTAAACTAGAGTACTTAAGGAATTAAAAAGTGCTTAAAATACTCTAAAGAATTAAAGCACAAGATGACAGGCAGTAGCTTTGGCAAAGGTTGCTGCCACACCTCAGTGCATACACGCAGAGTTTAAAGAGAGGGAAAGACAACAGCAGAGGGAAAGACAACAGCAGAGAGCAGAAGGTTGTGGTCTACACAGAGAACCTAGGTGCATTCAGATCCGGGGGGGGCAGGTGGGATTCACCTGAAAGATCTAAATGTTCTGACTGCAAGGCTGCAGTCTATGAGAAGTTCTGGTGATTGAAGGAGGTCCCTGGTGGCTGAAAAGGCCTGATGTTGTGCCCATCTTTAAGGTAAGAAGGACAATCTGGAGGCCCAGTGGGCAGGTCAACTTTACTTCAGTCCCTGGAAGGGTGAACAAACATCCTTCTGGAATCTGTTTTCAAACACGTGAAGAACACAAAGAATATGTGTTTATGTGATCACTCTGATCAAGGTGATTGTCTTCTGAAGGAAATGACTGTCTATGTGTATCAGTGGAGACGTTACAGTGCCTGAAACATCCTTGACTTCAACAACGCTTTAGATGTTGTCTCCTGAAGCATTCTCATTTGGAAGTGCATTCTGAAGAACAAGTTGTTACATGGGTTGAAACTGAACAAATTGAAGTGGTACTAATCATGGTACTTGGAACTCGTCTAATTAATGGTGATTAATGGTATTTGACATCCATGGGGCAGCCATTAACAAGCATCCTGTTGCGAATTCGAAGCTGGTGCTTAGTACCCAGCTGACTGACCAGCGTTCACCATCACCCATTTGTTCAGTGGGCCAAATTGTAGGCAGATTTCTGTAGGGTGGCCGAGGGGGCTGAATATTGTTTCTGACTACTTATCACCATTATGTGTTGTATCTGATCTGGATGTAAATGTTATTAAGAAGGCTTTTATTATTCAGGCTTTTGATTAAGGAAAAAAAGAACAAATCTGTGCGGATAATTTGACATAATGATTTTCAAGTTAAACTTATTGGTACATGTTATGCCAACAACATACAAAGCCATCATCTGATACCAGAATTATTTGGAGGGCTCCTTTCTGAATGTGTAGCTTTTCTCTATCTATTTCTGCTCCTTGCACACTGTTCATATTCTTTTGCTGAATGTCTTTGACGCTGATTTTCATTGTGTGTAGATGTGGCTATTTCTGCTATGCAAAGAGAAAGGTTCAGCTGACTTATCTTAAGACCTCAGGAAAGATTCTCTGCTCTGACTAGATTTTGAGCTTATGCTGATGCAGACTGATAAACAATCACGTTACACAGCTCAGACTTTAACTGTAAGACCTGACTTTCCATGCATGTGGCTTGAAGATAAGCCTTATACACACTTATCTGAGTTCACTATTGTGCTTCTGTGCATTTGCTGCTTACTGGGGCTTTTCTATTTTATTTTAGCTCGTTTACCAAGTTGCCTCACCTCGCAGGAACTGAACAGAATCTTCTTCTTGCCAAACAAATTCAAGGCCAGTGGAAGGAATTTGGACTGGATTCAGCAGAACTTGTTCATTATGATGTGCTTCTTTCGTACCCAAATGAAAAGCAGCCAAACTACATCTCAGTAATTGATGAGCAGGGGAATGAGGTGACCCTTTTAATGACTAAACTATATTTGTGTAAGACTTCTTTAAAGAAACAGCATGTGCCTTATAATATGATTAAAAAAAAACAAACCAGTGCAAATGGAACCTGTATTTAAAAATGGTTTTCCAGACTCTGCAGCAGAACAGCAGAGTAACTGAAATCTCCATGCCTCATACAGCAGAGAGTGGATGTGTGGAGAGGCTGTGATTAACACCAATAGACCATAAGGTGTAAGAATGGCCATATTGGTTCAGCTTAAGCATGCATCTAGGTCAATGTCCTGTTTCCATAAGTGGAAGTGCCTGAAGTGGATGCACAGGGAAGTTTAAGGACAAATAAATTTATGTAAGGCATGCAATTCTTCCAGTGTCTAGCTGTTTTCAGCTTAGGTGTTTGCTGAATATGGTGCAATTAACCTCTTTAAGAATCCTTAATAGACCTTTTTTCCAAGTATTTATCCAATTAGTAACCCTCCTTAGATCTCTCTTCTGAGTAGGTTTCCAAACTCTGCTTGAACATCTTGTTGCTTCCACAAGCTGAGAGGTAAGGAACACCACACAGATACTACCCCTTCTATGAAGTGCTGCCTTGTTTCATTGGCTCTGAACATGATCCTACTGTCTTCCAACAGTGTCTCCTAAGCGAATGTTGGAAGCAATAATGAACAGTTGGTCTAGAGTCACCTGCTCCATTTTGTACACCCAGGGGAATAAAGAAGTGGATGTAAGATCTGACACGGAGCCTGAGGGAGGAGAGGAGATGGGACTGCTAGAGAAGCATTAGAGCACGTAGGCAGGGATGAAGAGCCCTGGTAGAAGTGAAGGAGTATGTGCTTGTGGATGACATGAGCTTAGAGGTGAAAGAATAGAGGAATTCTTCCAGAAACTCCCTGACACAGTCTCTCAGCTATAATCTCACATGGTGAGAAAGCCCGGACGTGAACCTTGAGGCAACATGGGTGTTACGATGGATGGTGATGGAAGGCAGCACGTGTAACTGGAGTGTAACTAGCAAAGGGGTGAAGAGAGGAGTAATGATGCGTGTGAGAGTGATCACAAAAATATCTGTGATGGCATGGATGAACTCAGTGTCTTTTTATTGTCACCACCTCTTGGCAATTTTCAGCTACTTCCTTGCTTAGGTTCAGGCAGTGACTGATGAGCACCTTCTGACAAATGATCTATCTCTGTATTCATACCTGCATTCTCTTATAAAAATTCAGCTATGTATCCCTCTTGTGTGTAGTTACACAATTGTGTAACTATATAGTTGCACAGTTGTGTATAGCCAATTTTTTATTTCAACTTTTGCGTGCTAGTTAGAATTGTATTTTTTGCTAACAATTTATGGAAGTTAGCATATCATTTGCAATAGCCAAGCTTAGTGTATAAACTTCTGCCTTAGAGGTAGAGTGTTTGACCAAAGGCTTCTGTTATTTATTGATAGATTTTCAATACCTCGTTGTTTGAACCACCTCCACAGGGGTATGAAAATGTCACTGATATACTGCCACCATATAATGCTTTTTCAGCACAAGGAGTGCCAGAGGTAAGAAAAAAAATTATGTAAGAGTATTATTAGCTGAAGTCATATATTGCAAAGCACTTGCTGGGATAGATTGCTCCAGCTTCTCAAAATATTTCTTGTAGTAGTTTCAATTAACCATTAGTATAAGAGAACACCCAAGGACAGGTAGGCCACATATTGTGTGAAGGTCAAAAGTCTCCTATTAGAAGCTTTCTCAAATTGCTAGAAGTCTGAATCACATAACAAGTGAAAAGCTTTTATCTTTAAGGAAAATGTTGGATACATCTCAGGTTACTCCACAATACTCAATCATATGGAGAGGAGTTGCTGAAGTAATAAGTCCAAATAGCAATATATAAATCATTTTGGAAGACATTTTGGATTAAGTGAGTGTCTTCAAAGGCTACAAAATCTCTCACTTAATCTGATAATTCATCACAGAGGAACATGTCAGGGGCAATTTTGCATTTGTTCAAATTGCGAATGAAATTATATAATAGTGAGTGTTTGTGTATGCAAGGGATAGCACTATTTTTGCATGGCCACAGAAGTTTGTTAGTTTAGCAAAGTACATTGGTTTCATTTCCAACCTCAGTTGAGCCAAGACATCCTATAGAATATTGTAGAAATCTTTTGCTGTTGTTTTTCTGAGCACTGCTTTTCATTGGTAGACATGCAAAGAAAAAAAAAAAAAAGAACTATACATAGTGAATAAAACTGTATTTCTGACAACAGATATTTTGTTTGTTGAATGGCCAGTTGCCATGAAACTGCCTTTTTTTTTCCTTTTCTGTGCAGGCAGATCTGGTATATGTGAATTATGGCCGCACTGAAGATTTTTTTAAGCTGGAGCGTGAAATGGGAATTAACTGTACAGGAAAGATTGTCATTGCCAGATACGGGAAGATCTTCAGAGGAAACAAAGTAAGGGTTGTGTTTTACTTTTTCCTCTGTGGGTCAGACACTGCTCATGGTAGAGCCAGCAGGAGTTAATGGGGGCTGTAAGTTGGAACATATGAGCAGAATGAAGCCTGCAATGTGTCCATTGTGACTGCATTTGAAGAGTAACTTCCAAACCAATAAAACCAGATGAATGTGTTAATCTCCTGAGACTGAGATGACTGCACACTCCTTAGGCAGTTCTCGCAAGAGATTAATTTAGGGAACTGAGTAGTTTGTAAAGCCAAGGCTTTTAAGACTTTTCATCCATGGAACTGCAGTATTTTGAAGTATTTGACAAGGAGTCTGAAGCACAGAGATTGAATAACTAATGCTTCTGACTTTACACAATGACTCTGACAAAACTGGTGATAGTGGGACAGTGGGGATAATGGTCAGGTTTTATGCCTGTGCTTTATTTCATAGCCTTGAACTATGATTAAAGGTGTGACACAAATAATGAACTGTGTTTCACTGTGGTTTTTTCTGCTTAGTCTGTGGTCATTTTAACTCTTACACATATGCAGCTTCTAAAGCTGTCCCCATGGAAGTAAGTTGCAACATTCAGATGTATTGTTGAATTAGAAAAAAAAGAAAAAGGGCATTTCTTAAAAGCAAATATTTTGACAGGTTAAAAATGCCGTATTAGCAGGAGCCCAAGGGATCATACTTTATTCAGATCCTGCTGACTACTGCGCCCCAGGAGTAGATCCCTATCCAAACGGCTGGAACCTTCCAGGTGGAGGAGCCCAGCGTGGGAACGTCTTAAACCTGAATGGAGCTGGGGATCCTCTGACACCAGGTTATCCTGCAAAAGGTGAGTGAAAGATCTGTACCCCAGGTCATTGAACACTTTATAAACTGATGCTGAAAGTTATTGTGGTACTAGAAATTAATCTATTTTCAGTATGGATGTAAAGAAAAAAGCTGCTTAAAATTATTTTAATTTTCCTGTTGCAGGCTAAGTTCTACCTGTATGTCATAAAATCATAGAATCATAGAATGATTTGGGCTGGAAGGGACCTTAAAGATCACCGAGTTCCAATCCCCCTGCTATGGGCAGGGACATCTCCCACGAGACCAGGTTGCTCAAAGCCCCATCCAGCCTGGCCTTGAACACTTCCAGGGATGGGGCATCCACAGCTTCTCCGGGCAACCTGTTCCAGTGTCTCACCACCCTCACAGGGAAGAATTTTTTCCTAAAATCTCATCAAAATCTCCCCCCTTTCAGTTTAAAACCATTACTGCTTGTCCTATCGCTACTCTCCCTGATAAAGAGTCCCTCCCCATCTCTCCTGCAGGCCCCCTTCAGGTACTAGATAGTGACTATAAGTCTCCCCGGAGCCTTCTCTTCTCCAGGCTGAACAACCCCAACTCTCTCAGCCTGTCCTCATAAGGGACGTGCTCCATCCCTCTGATCATCTTCGTGGCCCTCCACTGGACCCGTTCCAACAGATCCATGTCTTTCCTGTGCTGAGAACTCCAGAGCTGGATGCAGCACTCCAGGTGGGGTCTCGCCAGAGCAGAGCAGAGGGGCAGAATCACCTCCCTCGACCTGCTCGTCATGCCTCTTTTGATGCAGCCCAGGATGTGGTTGGCTTTCTGGATTGTGAGGACACCTTACCAGCTCATGTTGAGCTTCTCATCAACCAAAACCCTTAAGTCTTTCTCTTCAGGGCTGCTCTCAATCCATTCTCTGGTCCCAGTAGTGACACCTGAGGAACCTCACTTGTCACTGAGCGCCACTTGACATCGAGCCGTTGACTGCAACACTTAGAGTGTGGCCATCCAGCCAATTCCTTATTCATTGAGTGGTCCATCCACCAAATCCATGTCTCTTGAATTTAGAGACAAGGATGTTATGTGCGACAGTGTTAAATGCTTTGCACAAGTCTAGATAGATGATGTCAGTTGCACTTCCCCTATCCACCAACACCTTAATCCCATCATAGAAGACCACCAATTTGTGTGTGCCAGGCCCACCAGATTCAGACAGACGTTGACTGTCTTCAACATAGGTAAACGCATCTGTGGATGCCCTCTGCAGCTTGTAAACAGGCTGCACAGGGACTGTCTTCACACACCAGCTTGGTTGTCCCACTCTCAGCCTGGAGGAGATGTAATGATACGGATGGACAGCAAATCTAACCTCACATCAAATGTGGGGACTTCTCCTACACAGCTGTGCAGATGCGCTATTGGGTTTGTGGCTCTGTCATTACGTTTTGGTTTCCTAGAAGCAATATCTAAGAAATGATGTAAGAATTAAAAAACTGATGCATGCTTGTGGCTACTGTGTGGCTGCACTGTTCAAAAGTATTTCCAGTTTGGTGGAAGTTGCTAAGAACACTATGAACTTGACATTTTGTTCTGGTTTCTCAGAGTACACTTTCAGGCATAAAGTTAATGAAGGTGTAGGGATTCCCAAAATCCCAGTTCATCCCATTGGATATCATGATGCAGAAGTACTATTACGGTGAGTATACATCAGTCCTCCTCACCAGAAGTCAATATTCACAAACGTGCAGCAAAATTTTTTTTACTAAGGTGGTAAAATCTATGCTGTTACTTGTATTTATAGTTAATTTGAAGTTATGTATACTTCAGAAAGTGTGGAAAATTCAAAGCAGTCTATTTCTGGTGTGACGCTTTTAAGAATTTTGTAAACCCACCTTGTGTTAGGTGCAGTAACCATTAAGGGAATTTAAGGTTTTCGCCTACTGGTTAACTACCTTTGTCTTGGTTTTCACTTAGTGCAATGGGAGGATCTGCAGCTCCAGACAGCAGCTGGAAGGGAAGTCTCAATGTGTCTTATAACATAGGGCCAGGATTTGCAGACAGCTCTTCTACAAGGTCTGTTTTAACACTTGCCTATTTATAAAATATTGCAAAAAAAAAAATCTCCACAAGAAAAATATTGTGAAACAATGCATCTAGAAATATTCTCGAGAAATTTACTTCCGAGAGGGAAACACTTGGTGATAATTATCAGGACTACAAAGATGATTAGGGGCCTGGAGCACCTCTCTTGAGGAAAGGCTGAGGGACTTGGGTCTTTTTAGTCTGGAGAAGAGAAGATCAAGGGGGAAACTGATCAACACCTATAAATACTTAAAGGGTTGGTGTCAATAGGATGGGACCAGTCTTTTTTCAGCGGTGCCCAGTGACAGGACAAGAAGAAATGGGCACAAACTTGAACATAAGAAGTTCCATCTAAACACGAGGAAGAACTTCTTCACTTTGAGTGTGGCAGAGCACTGGAACAGGCTGCCCAGAGAGGTGGTGGAGTCTCCTTCTCTGGGGACATTTAAAACCTGCCTGGACATGTTCCTGTGCAACCTGCTCTGGGTGGACCTGCTTTGGCAGGGAGGGTTGGACTAGATGGTCTCCAGAGGTTCCTTCCAACCCCATTTCATTTTGTGATTCTGTGATTTGAAAATAAATTATGAAAAGCGTTGCTCAGTGTCCCCAGTGTCAATGGACAGACAGATTAAGAGGGTGTAGGTCCAGCCCTGTTGTTCCAACTTTAATCCTTAATTTAAGGTTTAGACATTGTTTCACTGGTCCTTTTAAAAATGGCTATACAGCAATAAGTAGACATTTTATTAATACTGTTGAATTAACCCTGAACTTCCTCCTTACTTCAAGCTTTGTTCTGTTCTTTCTTGTTTCTGATGACTGAAGGGACAATGGGACAGCCAGCCTGTAGCAGTCAAACAGAAAAGGACTGATAATTCAGTAGTTCTCTTCTACAAATGTTTTCCTTGTCCACTGGAAGCCTCCAGGGTTCCTGTGAACTTAGAGCTGTGAAGTGTGGCAATGATTTGGGAGTCCATCAGCTGTTCCCTGAAGCTGGTAGGCCCCATGGTTGAAAGCCCTGAACAATAACAGGACAGAAGAGTCCAAAGCACATATATCTTATTAATTTGCTTGGAAGGAACTGGTCTTTGACCAAATAGATTAACAATTCTGTGTTGGCAGTTTACATTTTTCAGCTCTAACAGAGAAATACAACCGTCCAGGTCTCCAGCACTAACAGAGTCACTCTTTAAGGGTTTCTGTGAACTTAGAGCTGTGAAGTGTGGCAATGATTTGGGAGTCCATCAGCTGTTCCCTGAAGCTGGTAGACCCCATGGTTGAAAGCCCTGAAAAATAACAGGACAGAAGAGTCCAAAGCACATATATCTTATTAATTTCCTTGGAAGGAACTGGTCTTTGACCAGATAGATTAACAATTCTGTGTTGGCAGTTTACATTTTTCAGCTCTAACAGAGAAATACAACCGGCCGGGTCTCCAGCACTAACAGAGTCACTCTTTAGCAGACCAAGACACATAACAATTGCACTTGGCGACTGGGAATTTGACTGCTGTCAGGGACCGTTGTAGTGTTCTTCCTTGTTTATAACTTGTAAGCTGCAATAGGTAAAGCTAAAGATCACTTTTCTATCACTTTTTCACATAAAAAATACTTTCAGATAACATGAGGTATCATTCTATGGGGACTGGTTGCAGACCACAGTGAACAGTGTCTAAAAATGGTGTGTCATTACCACTGCTCCACCTCCTGCAAAACAAGAGTATAGAATTACAGAATTTCCTAGGCTGGAAGGCACCTTTCAGACCATCTAGTCCAACCTTCAACCTAACACTGACAAAACCCACCACTAAACCATGTCCCTCAGCACCACATCTACACAGCTTTTACATATCTCCAGGGATGGTGACTTCCATGGGCAGCCTGTTCCAGTGCTTGATAACACTTTCAGTGTAAAAATTTTTCTAAACTTCCACTGGTGCAGCTTGAGGCCATTTCCTCTTGTCCTATCACCCGTTACTTGGGAGAAGAAACCAACCCCAACCTCTCTACAACGTCCTTTAAGATAGCTCTAGAGAGTAGTAAGGTCTCCCTAAAGACTTCTTTGATCATTATTCTTTTCTGCTCTGCTTTAACACTAACTGAAAATAAATAAAGAAGGAATAAATAAATAAGAAAGCATATTTGACATACTCTACAACGTCCTTTAAGATAGCTCTAGAGAGCAGTAAGGTCTCCCTAAGGACTTCATTAATCAATTATTCTTTTCTGCTCTGCTCTAACAGTAACTGAAAATGAATGAAGAAGTAATAAATAAATAAGAAAGCATATTTGACATAATTAAGGTGCTGTTTAGAATGTCTTGAAGAGCAACAGCGAGAAAAGAAACAATATGATTCATTTACAAAACATTTCTCAGAGTAGTTCCATATAAAAATGAACCTTTTGAATCTAGGTAGAAAGTCACTCACACATGGAAAGTGTGCAAGTATATGCACGCTCAAGGCACTGGTGTCAGTTTTTTTCTGGGCAAAGATCCAGTAGCTGTCCTGAAGTAGGTTTTGATTTTGACAGCTATGCAGATTTGCTGCTGAAAAGATAACTTCAAATGTGAAACTCTTGGTGTAATAAATAAGAAAGCATATTTGACATAATTAAGGTGCTGTTTAGAATGTCTTGAAGAGCAACAGCGAGAAAAGAAACAATATGATTCATTTACAAAACATATACATGGGAAAGTTTTTTAAATGCACTTTTTAACATCTTCCTACTTAATAGGGTAACAGTTTTGTAAATATGGGGTAATCCTTCATATAATTCTTTCTCAGAGTAGCTCCATATAAAAATGAACCTTTTGAATCTAGGTAGAAAGTCACTCACACATTGAAAGTGTGCAAGTATATGCACGCTCAAGGCACTGGTGTCAGTTTTTTTCTGGGCAAAGATCCAGTAGCTGTCCTGAAGTAGGTTTTGATTTTGACAGCTATGCAGATTTGCTGCTGAAAAGATAACTTCAAATGTGAAACTCTTGGTGCCTTGCCAGACACAAAAAACAGACTTGATCCTTTGTTTCTTCTACAGGTTGAGAGGGGCTGAATACTACTTCATTTTTAGCTAATATCTGAATTTCCTTCCTTTTTATAAAATTTCACAGGTGGTAGAAAGTCACTCACACATGGAAAGTGTGCAAGTATATGCACGCTCAAGGCACTGGTGTCAGTTTTTTTCTGGGCAAAGATCCAGTAGCTGTCCTGAAGTAGGTTTTGATTTTGACAGCTATGCAGATTTGCTGCTGAAAAGATAACTTCAAATGTGAAACTCTTGGTGCCTTGCCAGACACAAAAAACAGACTTGATCCTTTGTTTCTTCTACAGGTTGAGAGGGGCTGAATACTGCTTCATTTTTAGCTCTCCTAATATCTGAATTTCCTTCCTTTTTATAAAATTTCACAGGTAGATTTTCCCAGGAAGAGGGATGGAGAATTGACAAATCTTGATCACTTAGGTCTGCTGTCCTAAACTGGGATTTCAGTTTATTCCTGGATGAATATTTCTAGTGACCTTCTCTCCAAGTTCTATCTTATTATACGGAATTATGCTATGAAACCAAAGTGTATTCTTTATAAAAATATGTATATCCACAATTATCAAATATGTTTTTCAGTTTACTCCTCTAATACACGGTTATCACGGAATTATGCTATGAAGCCAAAGTGTATTCTTTATAAAAACATGTATATCCACAATTAACAAAATTCATTACTGTATATGATTTTCAGTTTACTCCTCTAATACACGGTTATCCAATTGACTCCCATAAATAACAGGTCAATGAATTCAGTAAATGTTTGAAAGTTTATAGATTGGCCCGCTTCATAAGGTTGTTGTTTCTAAGGCATCTTTCTGTCAGAGGGTTAACCTGAAATGAAAAATGGGACACTGGTACAGCATGATCAGTGCTGAACACACAAAACAGAAGAGAAGCACCAACTTTCTGGCTCACAAGGTATTACATTGACTTTTTGTTGCCTTCTCAGTCAGAAATGGTTACTCTCTACTGCTTTTCATTTCAGAAAAGTCAGAATGCATGTTCATACAAACAATAAAATAACACGAATTTACAACGTCATTGGCATCCTCAGAGGAGCTGTGGAACCAGGTGAGCATCAAGGATTTTAATTCCTTTCTTATTTTGTGTTTGGTGAAGTTGTTCTCATGTTGCGAGATATTTCAAGTTTTTCAAATAGCCAGATGTTGGGTCCCAGTCCAATTTTTGGTCCAGGAGGGGATTTGTAATGATTCCAGGGATGTGATGTACACTGGCAACAGCAATCTTGTGGCAAGTGAGCTGTGAGATATCTTGTCTTTATGTTGGGTTCTTACACCAGATAATATGGAATCTGAGAAACCTTTAATAGTTGTCCTGTCCCTACTAGCACACTGGTTTTAATTGGCATTCCCAAGAATATATTTGAATGGGAATGCTGGAATGATAGATGTCAGGGAATTTTTTTATAACACCTGTCAATTTACACTAGGTCTCCTCTTACATCATTCATACATTTTACCTTTGCAAAAATTAACACAATACAAAGTACAGAAAACTAGTGATGATTTGGGACCTCAACATACTATTGTTGTTACTTAGTGGCGGGCCATATATGTGAAAAACTTTTAAGTGGAAAAATATGTATAAAATATTTATTGTTTTTACTTATATACTTCAATAGAGTAAGCGAATGATTGCAGATTACCTTAAAAAGTCAATTTGTAGCACTGGTATTAAACTTCTTCGTATTTAATTTGATACAAGTAGGGATGCGATCATAGGAAATACAGGTAACCTAAATGCATTTTTAATTAAGGCTTGACATTGTGTATTTGTTTACAGACAGATACATTATTTTAGGAGGGCATAGAGACTCCTGGGTGTTTGGTGGTATCGATCCAACTACAGGTGCAGCTGTTCTGCAAGAGGTTGTACGGAGTTTTGGTAAAATGAAGATGGAAGGTAATTTATTACAGACATAAAATGATGGATATGGAAAACAGCAGCTTTGAAGAACTGTGTTGAATGTTCCCATAAGCAGTGGTGTTGATTTAACTTACCACCTCAACAGAAAGTTGTATTTCTCATTATGAAAGATGCAAATTCTTTTAAGAGATGCATATGTAGTATTGCATCTTAGTTTTTCAATTTATTCCCTCATGTCTCTCATCAGTATAATAGTACCCTTTTACTTGTGTGGAATGAAAATACTGCATTAAGAAGAAATGCCTCTGCAATAATGTGTTCCTCTAAGGAGTTTAGAGAGGACTTTTTTTACTTCTATATCAATTAGGTGCTATTTTTTTAAGGTTATTTCAATTAACTGTGTTGATCTTTCACTTAAGTTTCTAACTTTGAGTTTTCAAGTTTAACTTTGTGACTGCAGGTTGGAGACCTAAGCGAACTATTATTTTTGCTAGTTGGGATGCAGAAGAATTTGGATTGTTGGGTTCCACAGAATGGGCTGAGGTAAGTAAAAAATAGTGTAAAAAAACCAAAACCTGAAAGTCTGCTGCAGGAAGCTGCAGCACCCAGTGGCAACTATTCCTGACTATATTTCTGCCTGATAGAAGGATGTTGAGAAATTCAGAAGTGAGGTTCTGAATGTTTTTCTCTTCCTTTCCCTCTTGGGCACGGTCAGTTCTTAACCCTGTAAGTGGTTTTGTTCAGCCCTGCTAAGAAATACACATCTAACCAGAGTTTTCATTGCTTTGTCTGTAAAATCCAAATTAGAAATAGAGCAGACAGACAATTGTTTGATGAAACACATTTCTGCTGAACGATGTCAACTTAATAGTACTGAATGGCTTAACAGAAACATGTTGTCTTGTTCTTCTGCTAGAATTTTTTTTAGAATTTTATTTAGAAGGTTATATTTAGGTATGTGGAAAGAGCTTTTAAAATCTATAAAATAAAATATTTTAATATTTTAATTTTTTTTTAGTTCATTGTTAAGTATTACAGTAAACAAAATAATTACATAGAAAATGACACATTTCAGAGGAGGGAATAAAACCAGAAACGTGCTCCCAAACACCAAAGGGATTCCATCATTCTTCTGCTAACAAAACTGGGATTTCTGTTCCTTTGGATTTGCACTAATTCTTTCTCTCATAAACTGTTTAGCTTCCAGTTGCAGTAGACTCTCTGCATCTTATTCCTGGTTTATGGGACATTAGATGAAGAAAGCATAATTTAAATTATCTTTTAAATCATTTAGTGAGAGATTTTTAAGACTTAGGTATTAAATTTCATCCCACTTGAACTCCACTGGTAACAAAGGTATACTGTATATAAAAATCTATTTGTGATTTCTTTGTCTGTGCACGTATTTAGTTGCTGTCAAGAAAAAACACACAATTGTTTTATCTCTGAGGAACACAAAACAATGATACTTAAAAGATCAATTTTTCTTGAGTAAGTCATGAATAAATTAAGAGTTCTCTTTATGTTTGCGTTGTTCACATATTGCTACAGCTGTTCTGTAATGTTTTTTGTTTAATAATTTAATATATAGTAATCTATCATTCCTTATTTCATGAAGCAGCAGCTGTACTAGATTAGAAATCCATGAGCACAATTTATATTAGAAGCTCAATGTTTTTATATTATTGTTTCCTTGCCTTATCTTGGTGATGTGCATTCCTCCCTTTTGACACCTAAATTAGATTCAGTTTCTCTAGGGACATTCCTCACGGCTCACATTCCTGTTTTCTGTAGCTGCCAGATCTGTCATCTAGTAAATCTTGAGGAAAATTAACCCATGATATTCACCATCTTCTGTGCAACAAAAAGGGTCTGCAACTGTGACAACATCTTTTTGTTACATCAACAATCTCCATTGCTCATAAATGAAGGAATTTCTTTATGTTGCAAATATGCTTTTGCATATATGCAAGGCCTCATGTACGGATATACAGGCCTGCCCCCTTCCTTCATACTCTTTTTCAGAATCTCCTCTACTGTTTGTTTTGAAGATATCAATTTATTCCTGAAGTTATCAATTACCAATCGGATTTTTAATTCTCGTGACTTACAGATGATTAGTTGGGTTATAAATTGAATGAATCAAATAACAATTACTAACCTAATTAGAATATCTATCACAAAGCCAAGGCTCAGTAAAATACCACTTACTGATTAGAATATCAATTTCAAACATAATTACCACTTTCCAAAAAATTAAACATGCGTGTGTGTATATTTAATGTGAAAGCAATGCTTGGTTGACTCAAAACAGTCAAATTAATCTGAATAGGAAATGTCAGCGCTTTGACTCATCCCTTTTTGAAATGGAGGAGTGTAGAAATGACAGCAACGCTCGGTTTATCGGTGTTAAAATTGAGTTCAGTGCTGGGAGCTCACGTTAATGCCCGCGGAGGAATTCTGACTGACCCCACAGTTGCATGTGCAAGAAGTGCTGCCTGTGTGAAGTTAAAATACATATATAACCTTAATTTACCCTGTTGCAATGCTGGTCAGTACTTTTCCTGTTCCGCCTTGCTCCCGTGCGATGCAGCAGCCAGCACCTGCACATTGAGGATGTTTTCTGCAGGAAATTCAGTCCCAGAAAGCAGGAGACAATTTCATATGCCCAGATCATTGACCCATCCTCAAACGTTAATATAATTAGTAAGGTACATAGTGTTAATTTTCCTGAGTTCTTAAAGGTAACACTGTGAAAAACAGTGCACTTAACATACTCTTGACAAAATGCCACTAATTGAAAGTAATAATTACACTCTTACAACCCCAGGAAAATGCCAGAATCCTGCAGGAACGGGCAGTTGCTTACATCAACACAGATTCCTCTATAGAAGGTGTGTCTTTTATTTTTAAACTCACTTTACTTCACAGCTGTCAATTTTAATAGTTCACTGTTTATTATTTATTGCAGTCAGAGCTGGCAAACATAAGACAGATGATGTGTTGTTCAGAGTAAGTGTAGCAAATACAGAATTAAGTGGAGGGAGAGAACAATTTAAATTCTCTTTTTTTTTTTTTTGTTGCAAATAGCAGCACCCATGAGCTGCAGCCCACGTGCGTGGGGTCCAGAATGTCTCCTCTGGAGGAGTTTAGTATTCTGTGCTAATGAGCTGAGCGGTCTGATTTTGAAACTCTCTCTTAACTACATTTACGATTTAATTTACAATTTAATTTACGATTTATGATCTAATTTACGATTACAGTTTCAATATATGACAGACTGCTGCTTATTCTGTTTGCAGCTCCAGCTCCTTTCCCTGTGTAATTACCTTTTTGGAACACTAATTTATTATGATCTTAAGACAATTTGTGTTGAGACCACAGAGTTACATTTTGTGGGGGTGGAACCCATTTTGGTGCTTTGGGCCAGCGTGGTCACCTTTGTTCATTGCTATGAGCAGGGAGAATATGCAGGGAGTTACATGTGTCTTATGGCAGGGCTCTTCTAGAAAAATAAGCTCTGAAAAGTGTTTCATGAAAAAACTGATCAGCCATTATCCAATTTACTGTGCCCCTCAGATTGTGAGAAGAATCTGTCATATGGGAAAGCTGCTCAGAAACTGGACTTTGAATTTTGGGTCCAAAATTATGACCTAAATCACAAAAACCTTAAAATATACTGAGCTTTATTACAGAAGGACTTCATTTAGTGTTGTCTGTGCTGAAATAATAGTCAGTAGAGTCCTGTGAAGCTGGAGTCCTGCATCATAAGCTCAGTTATTTAGGGCATTGCTCTTCCCATGTTAAACCCAACTTATTTGGGCTTACTGTGTGTGAATAAAACGGATATCAACAGGCATATCAAAGAACTCTTTTTATTCCTGTCAGCAGAAAATTTTGTCTGTCACAAAAGGATTGGAAGGGAAGAAAAGCCAAACCCAGTTTCTAAATGCTCAGTTGGAGTTGAGCTACAGGGAGGGTTAGAGCTGTTCCTTCAATTATGGAGCCTACGTGCTGTGTAAAAAGTAGAGCAGAATTTCACGCCTAGAAGATCTCACGAATGAAATAATAGCTTTACAACCGCTTCATATTCTCAGCATGGACTGTAACATATTTTTAGTTGGTTTGCAGCCAACATGCTGCTGCCTTAACAATTTTCTTCCAAATCTTGATTATTTAAACGTGTCTCGTGCTTTATGCATTAAAGAAAATGTGAAAGTAAAAGCATTGGAAAAGAAATATGTGATAAGGGTAAGAACACCGTATTCAGTGTTCTGTTTTAAGTATCTTGGACATCTTTCACCTGACTGAGCATTAAAATCCCCTGTATAGCCATAGCATCCATGCACTCTGCCGATTATTTTGTTTATCATCATACATTCTCCACAGCACTTCTTGTGCTACGTTTTGGACAACAAATTATTTCTATTCATTGTCCTTTAGCAATTAAAGGGAGAATAGAGGGTCCTCTTTTTGAGCATTTTTGTGACTGTAATTTCCAGTTCTCAGATATAGACTCTCCATGGAAACATCATTAACATTATCTGGTACTTTTTCCATCATCATGGGGTTTTCTGTAATCGTCAGTCTAGTCCTCTTCTAAGTACACACCGTGCAAAGGATGACCCAAAGGTCTAAAGCCATATTAAAACCTCATAACAGTGTTATCTGAGAGGTTATATTTTATTATGTCCAAGCCTTCTTGCCCCTCTTCCCCTCTTTGTTGCTGCCCGTATTTGAGGGCAGAGGGCTTTGCCCAGCTGCTGTGCGGTGGCTGGAGCCTACAGAGAAGACTGTTTTACACTCCTGCCTGCCTCAAAAGTGGTGATAGTTTCTTTGTGATGGGGCCATTACTGCTGTAACAGACAGCTTTGATATGAGGTAGGCACCTAACTCAACACAGCCTGCAGGTGGTGTGGAAACCTCATGGGTGGAAAGCATAGCAGCCACAGCCTGGTGGTAAATGGGGAGGTTTAGGAGACAGTAGATGGAAACATTACTCTGCATCTTTTTTTGGCTCCTATTTGGGTGAGACTTACTTAGTTCTGAAATGTGAAATGCCAAACATCTTGCAGGTCTCTTACTCAGAAGGTGACCTGTTGCTCAGATACGGTCTGCATTGAAAAGCATTGTAAAAGTGCTCTTCATGATAAGAGCAGAAGCAGCTGCATTGAAAGGCTTCTTAAAACATCTTGCAGGGAATATGTCTTTCCTCCTGCAGCTCCTGAATGCACTAATTTTATTTTTAACATCCTACAAAAAGCAGGATGTTACCATTGCCTTCTGTTTAACACAAGCTTCAGGGGGTGTATGAGTGACAAAGGCTTGTAGCTAATGAGGGATGGTTGGGCGTATTTTAGAACTATGGGAAGGCTTAATGACATTACTGTGTATGTGCTATAACCAATGCATCATTGTTGTGCAGTAGCAGTAGCTTATACAATGTGACCAAGTGGTTATTTTTCTGTATATATTCTGAGTTCTTGCCTTGGAACCAAGAACTTTGTCTAAGATAGGATTGCAGGGTTTAATCCTTTAAGAAGATATTGCCACTGGTATGTGAAAGGAAAATTTCCGTGTCTTTATTTCATTTTTAGGTAACTACACATTAAGAGTTGACTGCACCCCTCTTCTCTACAAACTGGTATACGATCTGACAAAAGAGGTACAGAATCAGTGTGTCTATTATTTGCGACTTTTTAAGAATATAAACCTGCAAGTTTATTAGATAAAATTGAATTATTGAATTTATCTTATGAATTATTGGATTGATCTTATCGCTGTGCTGGAAGAATCTTGATCACACCAAAATCAATAGCAAAACATTCCATCAGTGGTCCACAGTCCAGGCTCACAGTTTCTCAGTATTCTTAGAAAGGTTGAAATGTGTTGCTGGCATAAGTGAAATATTATTTGTAATACAAAGTAAAAAAAAAATAATTAAAAGAAGATAAGAAAACACTTGAGCAAGACCAATTCTCTAAAGTGGTAAGCATTCAAGGAAATAAATTGCATTTTAAATTTCCATTTCATGTGCAAAAGGGAATCTATTAATTTTCACATTGGCTAGCTACCATTTTTTCTCTGTCTCTTCCCCCTGAATCTCTTTCATATCTCATTGAGCCCCTGAAATACCGTGATAAATACTGAAAGACTGAGTGGTTTTTTTTTAACAGGCAGATGTATGGATTTGCATGACTACAAGTGGTCTAATCATGCCTCCTTTGCTTCCACCTCTCAGGATGAATTATCATAAGGCTGAAAGATTTATTAAAACATAAAACTTCATTGGCTGTATGAGGAGTTAACCAAGTTTGGCACCTTGCATGAGCCATTATCATTATCCTCAGATCTGGATCCATCTCAATTAACAGAAGACATCTCTGTCTGACTTAAGCAACATGGGCTCCCTTTAAAGGCAATGCATAGGAATAAGTACCTTTAAAATGGGATTCATTTGGCCAAATGTGTTTGTCTACTCTTGTACATACAGAAATCTCAACTACTTCCCCCACCCCTGATATTAAGAGAACCCAAGTGACTTGGTCCAGTGTAAAAATCTACACTGTGATGACACTTGGTAGGTTGAGTCCATCCATTACTCTCCCATCCCATTCCCTGCATTCATCCTGAGTTATTTTCAAATGCAGTGTACTTTCTTTTAACCCTGAAAATGCCCTGGTTTGAATCTGAGGCGGTTTATCTGTGCTATGCCCATGTTCTTCTTTTCTACATTTTATTTTCTTACCAGCTTTTTCTATCTTACTCTTTCTTCCTTGCTGGGGAAAAAGCTGTGCTTGATCAAAGGTTAACTGTGATGCTTCACACAGTGAAGGGCATTTTGTTCCAGCTATAAAAATGTCTATGTCCCTAGTGCTGCAAGGCCCTGGATAAAATAATTTACTTTCTGTCTGCAGCAAGCCACTTACTCAGGGATCCATTTTTCTGCAAAAGATAAACAAAGTTAAAAAAAAAAAAAATAAAAGCTCTGGGCTAAAAATAGTACCTCACTGTTGATCTTAAGTCAACTATTTAACTAATGCTGGGTTTGAGTAGAAAAATTCCATTGAAGTACCAAGTACCATACGAAGTACTTGAGACTGGCTTTTTTGAAAATTTTCCCGTTCAGTGTTATTTAAGCTTTTAACAGTAGAAGCATAATACAAACAACAGAAATTGTGACAACTATTCCATAATTCCATGCTGTTTCCTTGGTAAAAAGCTCCTAGAAGTACATTATATTCATCCATATTCTTCATAGCTTCGTTGGCAAAGGTGATTATTTCATAGAGAGTTGTCCATGAAAAGTCTTATTATTTCTTATTATTTCTTATTATTTCTCCTTAAAGACACTGTTGGAACATCTTAGATTTTTTTTCTTGTCAGTTCCACAGAGCAGGATTCTGCAACAACGTCCTCATTCTCTGCTGTTCTCTGCTTTCTGTGCAAATTCAAAGAGCACTTTCCCCAGTTTTACCATATTGTCTCTGTCCAAAGAATTTCATCTGGAATCCTTTTTTCCTTTTTACTCCCTTTTTTTCGCTGTCTCACTAAGTAAATTTTAGACACTATTTGTCACACTTTTATAGTGGAGTGTTTTCCTCTTTTTTTTTTTTACTGCTGAACCTGGGAACACCTTATTATTTCTTATTATTTCTTATTATTTCTCCTTAAAGACACTGTTGGAACATCTTAGATTTTTTTTCTTGTCAGTTCCACAGAGCAGGATTCTGCAACAACGTCCTCATTCTCTGCTGTTCCCTGCTTTCTGTGCAAATTCAAAGAGCACTTTCCCCAGTTTTACCGTATTGTCTCTGTCCAAAGAATTTCATCTGGAATCCTTTTTTCCTTTTTACTCCCTTTTTTTCGCTGTCTCACTAAGTAAATTTTAGACACTATTTGTCACACTTTTATAGTGGAGTGTTTTCCTCTTTTTTTTTTTTACTGCTGAACCTGGGAACACCTCTCATCTTTCTGAAAAATACAATGATGGTTCATTTTTTACAATGATTCAGCATTGTAGTTTTGATTTCCAAACCATTTTTCATTTACCAGTGCGCCACCAGTGACCTCCTGTCATCCATAAATCACAGCCTGTGAAACCTTTCTCTCGTCCTCATTCTCTGCTGTTCTCTGCTTTCTGTGCAAATTCAAAGAGCACTTTCCCCAGTTTTACCATATTGTCTCTGTCCAAAGAATTTCATCTGGAATCCTTTTTTCCTTTTTACTCACTTTTTTTTGCTGTCTCACTAAGTAAATTTTAGACACTCCTTGTCACACTTTTATAGAGGAGTGTTTTCCTCTTTTTTTTTACTGCTGAACCTGGGAACACCTCTCATGTTTCTGAAAAATACAATGATGGTTCATTTTTTACAATGATTCAGCATTGTACTTTTCATTTCCAAACCATCTTTCATTTACCAGTGTGCCACCAGTGACCTCCGGTCATCCATAAATCACAGCCTGTGAAACCTTTCTCTGGAACACTTACACTCTTTTGATCTTTCCTGTAAGATTGTTCATAGAGATTGTTGGAATTTTCCCAAGGAAAAAGAGGTTTTGATGAACTCTTGGAGACAAGTCAGGGCGTTTTCTGCAGGACTGCTTCTAACTAGGATACCATTTTTTTGGCATAGAAACACGTACACAGAAGGTTGATAGACCCTGTAGAAATGTGGTACATCTCTAACTTGGCTCACTGCTTCTAGCATCTCAGAATAAAATCCATTTAAGGGTTCAAACGTCTTTATTCTCCAGGTCTCTAAAAATTCCAGTGAATAGGAATTCACTCCAAAAGAAGGAGAAAAACCAAAACAACTGCTAGAACAGGGAAGGTCTGTTTTGCAGAGGGATCTGCTTAATTTTCTTTACTCTTTTTTTTTTCTTCACTTGCTTTCAGGTAGCCTCTTGTAAAGATAACCAAAGACTACAATCTGTACCTTTGCTACTCAGTTGCGTCTTTTCCACTAATATGAAAAAAAACCTAATTTCTGTAAGTGCTAGAAGCTCTAAGGCAGAGCGATTATATTCTTAGTTTTGCTATTTTAATGGCAATGTATTTGGGTTGGAATGACACTGGGAAGCTATATGTACATGTCAAACCCTCAACCCATTAAGTCTTTGCATATCCCAGTTGTTAGTTTCTTGAATAGGAATAGTGAGAAGTCCTGTGCGCCTCAGGAGCCCTAGTTAATTCTTGGAAACAGCAAATGGGGCCAAAATGTTCCCTATGCTTTGCATTAGGCTTTTGCATGGGATTGAATTTCATTCAGGAAGCTCAGCATGTGACAGAACATTACTGCAGATGTGGGTGATTCTGTATGTTCAAAAGAAAGTTATTTCTGTTCATATTAAAAAGTCCAACATCCAACTATCCAACATCCCAAGATCCCTTTGCTTTTCTTGTTTTTAGTGAGCCATTTGTCACCAAAAAAAATGTTGCGTACACATGAATTCTTGTCTTCTAAGGAGTTCTGCATTTAAGTGTAGTCCTCAGCATGCAGATGGGACATTTAGCTGTTGGAAGTCCATTTTGGCCCCACTCTACTGCTAGGCTTTAGACAGTTGGTCACCATCAGCCAATATCTGCAAAAGTCCAACTCCAATTCCACTATTCTGATCATCACTTCTTACTTTGTATTTATAGTTAAACAGCTCTGCATCTTCCTGTGAAGTAGCAGTGAGTTTATGCTGATTCTAGGTTTGGATCTAAGTCAGGGCAAATAATATGTTTTACTAGGCTCTCAGTGGCGTAGGAAAAAGCTGGCCAATGGGTTTTACATAAGCAGAGCTGTCAGAATAACATCTCTGCCAGAGCATGAAGTGCTTTTTCTCCCATATGTCAGAGTTCAGCTTGCTCTTATTAATGTGCCATTTTCAATTTAGCCCTAGAACTTGACCAAAGTGCCCTGAAAATGACAGCAGCCAAGCCATTACTTCACAAAGTTGTTATTTTTCTGCTAGCTGCTGACATAATCTCAGAGGTCAGAACTCTTTGGGTTTTCAATTTAGAGTCTGTATATTTTCAATGCAGAATTTAAGTCTCAACAATAATGTGGGATGAAAAAAAATCCCAATCCTCTGCATATCATAACCAATCTTATATTTAAAGGACCATGACTATTAAAGATTGTTTAAGTGTAGATGGAGACCAGGGCCAGAGCCTTGATTTATTTTTACCTCTGCTACAGATTCTTTTTCTGGGATACTCTTTCCTAGTTGTCCTGGCTGTATGATGGCTGTACTAATATTTACCTTTTCCATCCTGGTTACATAGCTTTTCGATTTTTCTAAGGTAAGGGTAGGACCTACATTTGTACATACAGTGTCTTGCACAATGGTGCTCCAGTCTTGCTTGAGTCCCCTTGGCACTGCTGTAATATAGTTAATGACTGGTTTTGACCCTTCTTTGTAGCACAATGCTTTTATACCCTTCCTATACCAAAAAGCATTCAAATTTCAGGCTTAGCCTGTTGAGAGAATATTGCTGCTGTGTGGGGCAAACCTCCACAGGGTTAGGACTGGCATCTCCCTTGCCTGCTGAAAGGAAAGCAGCTGGGGCTTCCTGGCTGCTGGAGGAGCTCCATAGTGCTACCTCTCCTGTGAGGACAGACTGAGATAGTTGGGACTGTTCAGCCTGGAGAAGGGAAGGCTCCAGGGAGACCTTATTGCGGTATTTCAGTATCCAAAGGGAGCCTACAAGAAAGATGGAGAGGGACTTTTTACAAGGGCATGTAATTACTCCTCAACTATGATGAGGCTAAACGGCTTCAAACTGGAAGAGAATAGATTTAGACTAGATGTCAGGAAGAAAATTTTCTCCCTAAGAGTGATGAGATACTGGAACAGGTTGTCCAGAGAAGTAGTGGATGCCCCATCCCTGGAGGTGTTCAAGGCCAGGTTGGATGTATGATTTTACATATACTGTTGTGTGTGTCCTAGAAATCCACAGGATCCACCTCCCCCTTTACATATATGGTTGTGTGTGTATCTATCTACACAGTGAATAATAGGGTGGTAAGAAGTCCTAGAAATCCACAGGATCCACCTCCCCCCAAAATGGTTGAGCTACAGCTAGTGTCCTTGAGCTTTTAACCTGCTCTTCCCCCCTGTGGTTGGTTCCAAGTGCATGTGAGATGCCTTTCATGATTGGGAACCATAAATGTATGTAACAAATGTAAATAGTGTTTGTGTCCCGCCCTGCATGCAGCAATGCAGGGGACAGCTGCAAAGGTCTCCTTTGATACTGAATTGTCAGAGGTACTTCCAATGAGATTATAATGTTTTCCTCTCCAGATTTTAAGCCCTGATGAGGGTTATGAAAATAAGTCTCTTTATGACAATTGGCTTGAGAAAGATCCTGCAACTGAAAATAATAGCTATCCCAGGTAAGTTGTTAATCAATTTTTTCTTTCCCTATATTTTCATCATATCATGGCATGGCTACTCTCCAGAGTTTTTCAAGATGTGCTATTGATGACAGCAATAGAAAACCTTTTAGTACAAGGTGACTCTCTAGCAATATCTTTTAAAGTAAAATAAAATAAAATTTTATGGCTTTTTTTTTAAATGATGCTGACATCTATGCCTGCTGTAAAATGAGACTTCATGCGTTTTAAAGGTCTTTTATTAGTAGAAAAGCAATTTGGAAAGCAATCAAAAAAAGACCGGGTGGGGAAAGAGTTTGAAATATAGTTTAGTCACCCTACTGGATGAGATAATATCAAAATTGTTAGAATAAGCAAATGCTCAGTTGAAAGAAAGTGCCTAGAGCGGTAATTAAAAAGCTCTCTTGATACTTAATCTTTGGTTATACAATAAATGTAAATGTAATGCATTACAAATCTATATCTGGAGCTATTAAAACTTCATAGTCAAAGGTATTAAAACTCCAAAACACTGTTTGAGCCTGTGACTCATAGAGCTGAATCTGATTCACCATGTGGCATTACTCACGTAAGGGAAATGGAACCGCCCCTTGGTGTGATTTGACCAAAGTGTTCTGTGTGTGTTGCCCTGTCTCTCGGACCCCGGTAAGGTGAGTGTCCAGATCCATTAGACTCACTGAGATTTCCTCCTTTTGAAAAAGCTACCACATCTGATCTTTCTCAGTGGATACAAATAGCTCCTTACAGAAATTTATACTAATAGAAGAACTTGAGCTGGGTTATTTCTCTTTTTTATAGCTAAGAAACACCAATTATTCACCAGGCTGGACATATCAACAAAAAACTTAATATAAAATTTAAATAAATATTTGAAAATACTTAGAATATTACATCTGTCTTTATTATCATTTTCTTTTCCTCTGTCTTGCCACACCTACCCAGTAGATGGCAATATTTACTTGTAAGTAACAAATCCTCCTTGTGTCTTCTGCAGTGGAAATTATTTATCAGTCTTTGATTCTACTACGGAAAATGCTAAGTATATAAACATATCTGTCTTTACATATACTGCTGCCCAATCCATATTAGTTTGGAAATAAATGATTAAAGTTTTAAAATTGCAAAGACATATCTGATACAATTTTATGGCACTTGTGCATAATGTATTCATTGGTTTTTAATTGTGGTCAGTGTCATAAGCAGGATTGCTGCCTTTGAAAGATCTTCCTAGTAATATAGAACACTGAATTCTTGTGGTGGAATAAAATCAGTTAGAGTAATTAAGCTTGCCACTCATCTCGTCTCTGATCTTACTCGTGTCCCTGATGTGCCCTCCAGAAGAACTGACCTCCAGTTGTTTGAAAAATTTGCATTTTGCATAAATTACTACCATACTGTAATGTAAGAGGCCTCACTAAGGTTTGTCTTTTCTGCATGTAGAATAAACAAACTGGGATCAGGCAGTGATTTTGAAGCTTACTTCCAGCGACTGGGAATTGCATCAGGCAGAGTCCGTTATACCAAGAACAGGGTAAGTCTTAACACATTGCTTGAAGTTTGGCAGTAGTGAGGGGTCATCTTTGAAAAACATTTATTCATGATTAATAAAAAGCTACAAAGAATCTTAGACTGGTTTGCATATCAGTGCCCTTTCTAAATTTGGCAAGAAACCTAAATGTTTGGAGAATAAGACGCTTAAGTGATGTGTATATTCTACATTGTCAAGTTCACAGAAAGGTATTTATAGAATCTGATTGGAGGTGTATAGTTCATTCCACCATACTATTAATAGGAGCCTTAATACACAAATCTTCCTTGATTGTGTTTAGAAATATGCACAGAAGGGGCCATGAGGATTTCTGCTGTCCAAAACCCCAAACTGTTTTCACTTTTAATGAAGGCAGTCTCTCTCCAATGGGCTGAAGGCAGGTCTGTATAGGCAGAGAGAAGGCAGCCTGCTCACTTAATCTTGTGCAACAGTCCATGGATTCAGGTTGTTTTAGTTTCCTAAAATAAATGCACAAAAATGGAAGGGTAGTAAATTGTGTTCTGTAGCAAATAGCTTTTTTGGTTTGGAATCTGTGCAAAACATCATAGTCGTTAAGTGATCAATACATCCCTTAACTGCAGTTAGAACACAGGGCACTGACAAATTTGCTTGGTCTTTTTCAGAAAGCAGACAAATTCAGCAATTATCCTGTTTATCACACTGTGTATGAGACCTTTGAGTTAGTGGAAAAGTTTTATGACCCCACCTTCAAGAAACAGCTTACAATTGCCCAGTTACGAGGCAAACTGGTTTATGAACTGGCAGATTCCCAGGTCATTCCATTTGACTGTAGAGATTATGGAGAAGCCTTAAAAGGATATAGCAATAGCATATATAAATTGGCCAAGAAACATGAAGAACAGCTGAAAACGTACAAAGTATCATTTGGTGAGTAATAGCCACAACAGTATTTCTTATGTGCATTAATGAGAATTATGCAAGGACATGATTTATCTGTCGTAGCTCTGAAACTGAATCCCTTGCTTTCCTGTTTCAATTCTGCTATCATAACAAAGAGCCTCCATTTTTATTTTTTTTTTAAAAAGGTTAAGGTTTAATACATTATAGTTGTGAGGGTTATAGATTAGAAAGGTTTAACACATTATAGTTGTGAGGGTTATAGATTAGAGAGTCACGATAACTTTCATGCGTATTACTAATTTTGGGCATTATTGCAGTGTTCACAAGCAGTCATGGACCGCAAACAAATACAGAGCAAAGAGACAGCATCAGCCTGCTTCTCACGTTCTTGCTTAAAAAAGAAGACAATTTAAACATTTATGGCAACTGCCTGGAATTTGGGAGACACGGGTGCCCGTTCCTCCTCAGCCAAAGACTTCATCTGACCTTGGGAAACATGCTGACCATGTGTCTCAGTGCCTGGGCACCTCTTGTAGGCAACAGAAGCACTTGTCTAACTCTTCTGCATAAGTACATCCATTTGCTGAGCACTTGAACACGTTGCAATGAAGCATATAATACAGGTCGGAAGCAGCAGAGTGCTCTGGATCCCAGGCGGGGAATGCTTCCACAGTAATTTCCTTTCTCTCCCCCCCACTCTCTCTCTCCTCCGCTCTCTCTCTTCTTTCTCTCTTCCCTCCCTTTCCTTCCTTCCTTCCTCCCTCCCTTTCTTCCTCCCTCCCTTTCTTCCTCCCTCCCTCCCTCCCTCCCTCCCTTCTTTCTTCTTGCCTCATCACCCCTTGTGTTTCTGTACTAAGCAGGATTTCCAGTCAGTCCAAATTAACTTGGTATCTGGGGGGACCCACGGTTTAGAGACATAAACCAGCTTTTTGGAGATGAGTTACAATTCCACCTTGTGTGAAGCATTAGAAGTAACTCAAATCAACTGAGTTCCCTCAGCCTCTCCTCGTAAGACTTGTGCTCCAGACCCCTTACAAGCTTAGGTGAAAAATTCTTTACTATTTTGGAAAGTCGCCCTTTTCTTAAGAAAGGCCACTCAAGACAGGAAGCCCTGCATGATGGATCATCTGGTCTCAGATTTTGCATAACACAAGGATTTATTTCCATAAGTCCTTGTGTTTACTGCAACATATCTTGTAAGGAAACACCAAGTCTGGACTTTCTTTTTGCAGTAGTGGAACATCTAGCAACATTTCTGTTAACTGATTTATTTCCATTGTTTGGGTTTCTTTCTCCTTTCAGATTAGAAGTTACCCAATCTATCCTCTGACCAATGCATCTTTTTTCTGTTCCATGATTCTAGAAATGATCTTTTTTTTAATGTTTTCCCACCAAAGTATCCCTTAAGCCTCTCCTTAATAACGTAATAAATGTGTGACTTTGACCAGTTTTTTAGAAGGCATATTTCTTAGTCTGAAAAGACTTTTCTCTGATGCCTGATCAGTTTTAAATCATTTCTTGAATAAAGCTACAATTTCAAATTTTTGTTTATTCTGTTACACCGGAAAGCATTAAAATGTATAAGTATTTTTTATAATACTGTGAAAATTAAAATTCATTTCACTCAGAATTTTCATAGAATTGGCTATTGACATCACTGAGTGTCAGAAAATTGTTAATTAAGCCAGAACAAATCACATAATTCTCCTTCAAAATAATAGATTGAGGGTTTTATTTGCCTTTGGATTCACATTTCAGCTGCTGCTCTGCAATAGTGAAGGCTCGAAAAGTTTTCTCATTAAATATGTACTTGTAGCTATATGCTATCAGGAACGAACGTTTGCAGGGAGGAAAAAAAAAATAAATGTGATATCTTCTGAAAAAAAGCAACACTGACAGCACTGAATAGTTAATGAATATGAGCACAAATTCTCTTACATATTTTCAGATGATCTTTCTTTTTTTTTTTTTTGTCTTAAATCTCCTCCTACAGCTTGTGAAACATAATCGGTTGCCACGATATAGCCATGATGTCAGCAGGGCAGAACTCGTTCCTCTGGCAAACTTAGGACTATTTGCCACAGTTGTGGACGAGTGTAAATTCTCACCCTCACAAGGTGACATGGGTCTGTCTACACTGCAGTCCGCAAACAGGTCGCATACGCAAAATCTGTGCCTCTAATTATGTAAACTAAACAAAAGTATTCATTCAAGAACAAGCAGGTGTAGGCTGGTGATGAATAAGTTTGCTAGAAATAGAAGAGCAAATGAGACTGCAGAGTCCTGGGAACAGAAAGCCTGTGATGCTAAATGTGGTGATAAATTTATAAACAGCAGAGGGCCATATCCAGGACTGGATTTAGGAGATGATCTAATTTTATGCCCCATATTCCTGTGCGATCAAAGAAAGGGTACTCTGGTTTATCTAGAGTTTCCTGAAACTTGTGAGCAAAATGCACCAGTTGAAAATCTTCCCTCTTTGAGTTGATTTTTGGGAAGGCCGGAAGTTCTTCTCCTGATAACATCCATCTTTTACTTACTCTACAAAAATTAGTTGTATGAATTGATAATTTTTCCAGGTCCAAGTTAAATAGACCCTTCCACGGGAAAATCATCACAGCTGATATTGTCATTGAAAGGAAGGCCCGCTGCTCCTTTGGCTGAGTTATTCCACGTGGCTTGGACACACTGCCAGGGACACAGCAGGACAAGCAGCTGCCTTACCCTCCATCCTGCTTGCACGTAGTCAGGTGTCCTGGTTTGAGGTAAAACCACGGCATTAGGGGTAACAGGCAAAATGCTGGGCTTTGAGCAGCAGCACTATGGGGTGGCAGGCAGGGATGTGGCAGAGACACCTCCTTTGCCATAATTCTAGTGTGTGTGTGGAGCGAGGAATCCATTCAATCTGCCTTGTCTGTCACTGTGGTCCATGTCTTTTATGCCTCACCTAATACTACTCGATAAATATATCACACTCTTCTGTTATAATATGAATAGGGAGTGATGTTCCAGGAGGGAAATCCCGCTGTTCTTCCACAGCCTGCGGGAAGAACTGGGGTTTTTTTTATTTAAGTCAGGCTTTTTATACCTAAACGCTGCAGCGCAGCCCTTTGTTAAAAAGGAACCTGCAGAGTTCTCTGTTTTGTGATGCCAGCCAGTCTTCCCCTCACTAGGCAGAGGGAAGGGGTGTACTTTTGAAAGCTTTATCAAGCTTTCTGCTTCATTGTCAGCCTCCTTGCACAAGGTCTTGGTCTGTTACTGCTAGTAGTGCAGTTATTTAAAGCCTGCACTGGGGAAACTAATGAATTATGTGAAAACAACAAAATGAATTCCATTCTATGAGCCAAACAAATGTAGTTTTTCGCTGGGCAACTGAAAGGTATATTGGGGTCAGCAGATACTCTGGAGTTGCTCACAAAGTCCTTCCTTTCCTAGATCCTCTTTTTTCCGCTGTGGTGAACTTCTCAAAGGCTGCTGCTGAATTTCACAGGAGACTTGAACAAGTAGACAAGAAAGAGTAAGTTTGAAAAAAAATTATTTTATACAAAAATATATTTATATATATATATAATATCTGCCTTAGGTACCCACGGTGGAAGTTCTTTCTTTCCAGTGACTTACAAAAGGAGTCTCTCTGATTAGTGTAGAATAGCCTTTAAGCTCGGAGACAAGCAGTATCTGCTGAGATGAATTCTGCTTCCCGTGATGAGCAGTACCAGCTGTAGAGCTTATTGCTAGTATCAGCTTGTCATTACAATTATTGCATTACATGGAAAGGCAGGTATCAGTGAAAGTTAAACCAGAACTGAGCTCTGTGTTTATACACCTACACTTGAGTGTTGTAGGTGACAGAAGAATTTGTACTTTCAGCACACCTCAAGGAGACAGGATGATGCTTCAGAGTATCTAAGATATCCATATGATGCTTGCGAACCTAAGGGCCCTATAGGACTCCCGTGCCCTCTGAGTGCAGTGGCTGGAGGCCAGGTGCCCCTATGAACCTCATGTGGTACCAAATAGTTGTGTTTAGGCAACTGAATCCCATCCTTACTATGTTACTGTGTAGACTAGATCAGGAGTTTGGACACTTGGCTTACGGGTGGAGACCAAAATCTTCATCTCGATCTAAATTTCAGCCTTCCTCTCCCCTCTTTTACATGGGATATTTCTAATGCCATTTAATACTAAACAAGGATCTGACACTCTCAGAAAGTCTCCCATTTTATTTTGCATAGTCTGAAATCTTGCAGTTTTATTTCCTGGCACAGGAATCCTAATGCATTATTATAACGTATTAAATATCTCCATTTGCAAAACCTCATCTTTTTGCAAACCGTAGACCACCTTTGTAATTTTTTTTTCTTTCCAAAGGAGAGGAAGAGTGTTTAAATGAAACTGTAAAGACATGTTTCCTCATTGTGTGAAATGTGTCTTGTCTCCATTTCCTGCAGTCCAGTCGCGGTGCGAATCATGAACGATCAGCTGATGTTTGTAGAAAGAGCATTCATTGATCCTCTTGGCTTACCAGGAAGGAAGTTTTACAGGTGAGGCAACAAGCTTCTTGAGCAGCTGCCTAAGGCCCTGTATGGCAGGTCAACCCCACTCCAACTGACCGGTCAGCTGAACTGGTGTATAGGCCTCATATAGGAATTATAGCTCAGCAGATTCTGATTTAAGGAACAATCCAGTGAGTAGCAGGATTTGTTTACAGCCTCCAAGGTGCACCAGTCTTGTGGTGCCTAATTCCTCTTCACAATCCAGTGAGCAGCGGGATTTGCTTACACCCTCCAAGGTGAACTCCTCGGCTGCACCAGTCTTGTGGTGCCTAATTCCTCTTCTTGGGTCTGGCACTCTGGTTTTTTAGCCATCGTACTCTATAACTTCTTTTATTTGCAGGTGTGTAGGATTGTTTCTGCTGTCATTTGCTCTTTTAGAACTGTACAAAGTGAGGATTCAGTAGAGCATCCACAGGATCGAAAGAAAGGAGAAATGAGGGTAGAGTAAAAGAGAGAAGAGGATGAGAATGGATGTGTAGTGAAGGTCAGGTGAAGAGAGAAGTCCAGAATTATTTTTTTTTTACTTGCTTGCATTTATTAATGTAGTTTGATTTAGGAGGACTCTTTTGCATGCTACAAATGTGCTTTGATACTTCATATGAAGAAAATCAATTTAAAAGCAGGTCTGAAACTATTAATTATTTAAGAAAAGAAAGCCCACCAACAAATAACATTGATATTTTTGTGGAGTTCTGTTCCAACATGATCACTTCTTCTCTGAAGAATTCATGCTCTTTTCAAGAATTCTCCCATAGATTTCCTTTTTCTTTTTTTTACATTCCTTTCCCAGACCTGCTGACCATCTGCTGACCACCACTGCTTATTTAGTTTTGAGGTTTCTGTTCCACTTTTTCTTGTTCACCCATAACTAGTTTTACTCCCTGTTGCAGAGTATCGCATTAGTTCCACAGGTTTGTTGAACTCCCATTTTCAAAAAAATTGACATAGATTCATTCCTAATTAGAAAAATGTATCATCCCTTCCTGAGAAGAAGGCTACGTGTCCTAAATTCGTGCCCTTTCGCATAGATTATGCCAATGGGACTGCTTCCTCCTGGCCTCTGAAAGACAGGTACAGGTAGATTTCCTGTGTTTTTTGTAAATTCTGATTTTCACAGGATCCGTGGCTGCTTTATGTAGCACACATACAGTTTCCTACAATGAACACACACACACGGCTAATGGTTATTTTATCTAGTGTACCTAAATTATTTTCTTCCTTCCCTGCAGACATGTCATCTTTGCTCCAAGCAGCCACAACAAGTACGCTGGGGAGTCCTTCCCGGGGATCTACGATGCCATGTTTGATATTGACAGCAAAGCAGATCAGCACGGAGCCTGGGAAGAAGTAAAGAGGCAGATTTCCATCGCAGCCTTCACTGTGCAGGCAGCAGCAGGGACGCTGGAAGAGGTAGCGTAGGATGATGGCCTCGAAAAGCTCAGTCAGACAGCAAAGCCTGAAATGCACTGTGGTCAGGCTACGAAAGCCACCCAGTCTCTCCTGCCTGCCTGCCCCTCTGAGCTTCCAACCCTCTGAACCCGTGGAAGCGCACAGGTAGGGTGAGCAGGAGCTCTGCATATCAAAGAACTCCTGAGCTAGAAATTACTGCTTCTCTGAGAGTGACAAAACCATAGCTTTAAGAACAGCCCTAGATGGAAGCTAATTAGGGGGTGGGGAAAAGGAAGAATCAGTTCCCAATTAGAGTTTTCTGAAAGATCTGCCAGTTTTGGGGACCTGTTATTTTGAATGTCCAATTACAAACGCAGTCATTTGCCAAGATACCTGTAAATCTCATCCGTAGAAGTGATCAACTGCATGCACTTCATGAGCAAATTTGTAAGACTCCTCAGCACATGCATTTTTCTTGTTCTGATAATTACTTTTATAATATATGACACTAAAGGCATCTCTGAATTTTATAATCTATTCTGCAGGACCAGTGAGTGCTCATTATACTGATTTGCTTTCTTTCCTGAAAAAATAAAATCCTCTTCCTCCTGCAGATTGACAAAGCAATACCTGCCATTCTTGATAATCAGAGAAAACAGCTGCTTTTATGCAGAAATCCAACAGCATTTTCTTGGCAAGTGAGTGTCCATCCCTCTGAAAGACAGTGTGCATCTCCCTCCTCTATTTGCACTTTTTGGAATATGCAGACTGGAGAGGAAGGGGGGGATAACTAAAAAGCTGACCTCCATGCTTGTTTTGGCACTTTCACTCATCCCAAACCCATGGCAGTTTTTGTTCCTGGTTTTTCCTGGGAGATTTCTTTCATGCAAATGTCTTCTTCCCAGTTGAGGCAGCTGGAGGACGCTGTCACTATTGGCCTGGGCCTTGAGGTTATTCTGTCCTCAAACAAGACCTGAAGAAAGCTTTCCATCAGGACCTGCTTTTACAAAGAGAAACTGAAATGCATGAGAATGCTAATTGTACAAAAATGTTTAATTTGTAAAAAAAAAAAGATTCTTGCTTCATTTGCCCTTCATATGTACTTCTAATCTACGTGCTTTATAACTAATAAAATTGCCAGAATTTTCTTAAATCACATTCCAATTTGTGGGAGCTGATAATAACCAATTTCTTCTCTTACGTAAAATATACTACAGTTTTTCTTACAACCATAAATTGCACCAGGTTGTAGGAATAAAATCCTTTTTGTTTTATGGGGAATAGAACAGATGTACTAAAAAAGACAGAATTAGAGAAACAGGACAATTACTGGGCTACAGAAGGAGTTGTTTTCATCTCAGATGCTTTGAATTCAGACAAGGGGACCAGAAATTACTATGGTTCGGTCCTTTGGGAAGTTGTTTTGGGGGGTATGAGCCACCAAGAAGAGCGGCTTTCATTGGCATCACTTCCAATAAGCCTCTCTGAAAGACAAAAGACTGTGTACCTACGGATGTTCTGCTCATAATTTGCTGTTAAATTGCTTTTCACAAATCAAGCCTCAGGCCCGTGAGGAGGAAACTACACTTCCACAGTCCATGCTTTACCACTTCTTTTGGAAAAAGTAGTGCTTAACTGACCTTGTCAGAAGGCACGTAAGAGACATGAGCAGTCAAGGCTGAGGACACCAGAACAGTGACTACACTTATGTTGTTCTCCTTACTTAGAATCATAGAATTATCCAGGTTGGAAGGGACCTTTCAGGTCATCTAGTCCAACCATCAACCTAACACTGACAAACCCCATCACTAAACCATATCTCTAAGCACTATGTCTACCCGTCTTTTAAAGAAATTTTTCTAAGAAATAGGAAATAAAAATTACTAAACCATATTCCTGAGGACCATGTCTACCCGTCTTTTGAACACCTCCAGGGATGGTGCCTCAACCACTTCCCTGGGCAGCCCATTCCAATGCTTGATAACCCTTTCAGTGTAAACATTTTTCCTAATATCCATCCTAAACCTCCCCTGGTGCAACTTGAGGCCATTTCCTCTTGTTCTATCACCTGTGACCTGGGAGAAGAGTCCGACCCCCACCTCGTTACAAACTCCTTTCAGGTCCTTCACTCACAGTTAAGATGTTCATCTCCCCACCTGTAGCTGAAGATGCAGCTGAAGGATGTGTTACCCTATCAATGATGACTGGTGTGTAACTGCACTGGTTTTTTTTCTTCCCTGTTCCTGTATCACCCACTCCTCCTGCCCCATCACAGCTGTGTGTGAACTGCAGCGGGCAGCAACTGAATGTGCCCCCAAGGAAGGGGTAGGATCTCTGGATGATGGAAAAAACCCACAAGTGCCTCTTCCTTGTGAAGAGCCAGCAGCGTTTGCTGCCGTGGGATCATCAGAGAATAAGACAAACACGGAATTTCCACATAAAAAGGAAATATCTGACACAGCGTGCTTCCTCCCTGATTTACAGAAATCTCTTTCATAGCATAAACCAATTGAACAATTGTTTCACCAGTGAACACGCTTTACCAGCGGTAGTTGGCCTTTTGAAGTTCTGTGCCATTACCTTGCTGCTGCAAAAGAAGAGCTTATGTCTTCTTGTTTCCGTGTGTGGTTTGAAGCTGCAAGAATAAACGACAGCTCACATCAGGCTGGGTGCACAGCTGGCATCGATCGCTTTGTTCCTCGTCTCAACCTAATTGATAACTCCATATGAGTTATCCATAACTCCATTCATCATGACCCACTGCATGCTGAGAAGTATAAAAAATAGCTTAAATCTATTTCCATTCCTCTCTATAAATTTCTACTGAGGTGAAATTACACTGGTTCGGCCACAACACACTGGTGAGGCCACAACTGGAATACTGCATCCAGTTCTGGGCCCCCCAGTTCAAGAGAGACAGGGAACTGCTGGAGAGAGTCCAGCGTAGGGCAACCAAGATGATTAAGGGATTGGAGCATCTCCCTTATGAGGAAAGGCTCAAGGAGCTGGGACTCTTTAGCCTGGAAAAGCGAAGACTGAGGGGAGACCTTATTTATGTTTATAAGTATCTAAAAGGTGAGTTGGAGGATGTTGGAGCCAGACTCTTTTCAGTGGTTTCCAGCAATAGGACAAGGGGCAATGGGCACAAGCTGGAACATGGGAAGTTCCATTCAAATATGAGGAAGAACTTTCCGGTGAGGGTGACAGAGCCCTGGAACAGGCTGCCTAAGGAGGTCATGGAGTCCCCTTCTCTGGAGATCTTCAAGACCCGCCTGGATGCAGCCCTGAGTGATGTGCTCTGGGCAATCCTGCTTTAGCAGGGGAGTTGGACTAGATGATCTCTAGAGTCCCTTCCAACTCTGACAATTCTGTGATTCCATGATTCCGAGAGTGATGTCCAACCCCTTATAAATAAGGAAACCAAACCACTGATACTAGTTTATTTCCATAACATCCCATATTCTTGCTATTGAAAGGATCTGTTACTCACGGCTGAGGTTGCCTTCCCTTCTTCTGACAGTAGTGTCTCCTCTGCTATAGGTGGGCAACCAAGCAACTGCTGCTGTCTCCCAGCCCAAAGGCTGCTGGATTTGTGTAGCTCTGCCTGCCCATCATTTCAAAGCCTGGGGGGGGATTTTTCAGGCTCTCCTCACAAATGGGTAACACGGGATCACCATCTCCCTCCTTCCCTGGCTCTGTTTGCACGGGTCATGCACTCAGCCTGGCTGAAGCAACCTGTGAATGACACAGCTGGGAGAAACAGACTCTTCAGCCAATTTTTTACCAAAAAAGATTGGTAAAATAAATGTATCACTTGGATATTTGGTTTGCCAATTGCCTCTTTAGAAAGTAAGTTTCAAAGGGACAGTGCCAATGCTGCCCTGGCTGGACAGCAGGAGCCCATCAAATCCACTCCATCACTCCCCTCCTCAACTGGACAAGGGAGAGAAAATATAATTCAAGTCTCATGGGTCAAGATAAGGACAGGGACATCACTCAGTAATTACCATCATGGGCAAAACAGACTCGATTTGGAGAAATTAATTTAATTTACTACCAATCCAATCAGAGTAGGGTAGGAAGAAATGAAAACTAAATTTTAAAACACCTTCCCCCCACCCCTCCCTTCTTCTCAGGCTCAACTTCACTCCCAAATTCTCTGACTCCTCCCTCTGAGCAGTGCAGGGCGAGAGGGAATGGGGGTTGTGGTCAGTTCACCATACGCTGTCTCTGCTGCTCCTTCCTCCTCAGGGGGAGGGCTCCTCATGCTCTTCCCTGCTCCAGTGTGGGGTCCCTCCCACGGGACACGGTTCTCCACGAACTTCTCCAAGGTGGGTCCTTCCCATGGGCTGCAGTTCCTCACAAACTGCTCCAGCATGAGCTCCTTCCACGGGGTGCAGTCCTTCAGGAACAGACTGCTCCAGCACGGGTCCCCCATGGGGTCACAAGTCCTGCCAGCAAACTTGCTCCAGTGTGGGCTCTCCATGGGGTCACAGCCTTCTTTGGGCATCCACCTGCTCCAATGTGGGGTCCTCCGCAGGCTGCAGGTGGATCTCTGCTCCACCATGGACTTCCATGTGCTGAAAGGGGACAGCCTGCCTCACCATGGTCTTCACTTAGGCCTGCAGGGCAATCTCTGCTCCGGCCCCTGGAGCACCTTCTCCCCTCCTTCTTCACTGACCTTGGTGTCTGCAGAGTTGTTGCTCTCCCATATTCTCACTCCTCTCCCCCAGCTGCAATTGCCTAGTTGTTTTTTTTCCTTCTTTTAACCATGTTATCCCAGAGATGCTACCACCATTGCTGATGGGCTGAGCCTTGGCCAGCAGCAGGTCCATGTTGGAGCCGGCTGCATTGGCTCTGTTGGGCATGGGGGAAGCTTCTAGCAGCTTCTCACAGAAGCCATCCTGCTACCAAAAACCTTGCCAAGCAAACCCAATACAGTCAGGAAGATCATTTAGATTCTCTTATGGTTGAAACACCTTTGGTTTGCCTTTGGAAAGGAAGCCGCAACACTTGGTCAATTTAGTGATGGCTGGAAAGTGGGGATAACCTAACCTTCTTGCTCCCTTCTCCACCGAGTGATAAACACTCATCCAGCTACAACACTCACTCATTTGCACCAAAAATGGTAGTAATCTAAAAGAGCTATTTTGCTGTGTTTTTCCATCAGCCAATAAACAGAAATCGAACAACCTAACAAAATGTTCTGAAGATCTTAAGCTTAATAAAACCTCAGACTGATTCAAAACCTTTGAAGAGTAAGTGTTTGGGATTAAGTGATGCCAGTGCCACTCTCAACACCCTGTAATTTAGCAACCCTTCCCAAAGCTGACTCAGCCATCACGGGGCTGAAGAATTTTCAGAAATCTTGTCAGTAACTCTACAGTTCAGGTGTTCAAATGTGGCATTTGGATTTGTCCAGCTTTTTGGTTCAGCCAAAGCCATTTATCAAGTCCAGGTCAAACTTTTAAGTTGCTTCAGCTGATCTGAAATTGCATTTGTTTACAGCAGTGATAGAAATAAACACACACTGAAACTTGGTGTATTATTAAGGGAAAGACACTGCAAGAGCAAGGTTCCAAAGCTGTCCATCAACCCATTGAGTTGATCTCAGTCAGTACCGGTGCTCTGGGCTCACATTTCCCAGCAGACAGATCCATTTGTGACAGACCCAATTTCTAGTATTCTGTTCTTCCTCTACAGATTACCTATAAAATAATCTCCACAGGTTCATAAGCACCAAGAGAAGGTGAACTGTATGGACTGCATAGGATTTTGCAGCAGAAGAGGACCTGGGCACCTGGCCAGCAGCCCTCGATGACCTAAAACCCTTTCTTTGTGTGGAGGAGCTGCTGGTGTTCCTGTCCATGCTGCCAAATAAAATACCAGTTTAAAACAAAGGGATTCCTCACGCTGCCTGTGATTAGATGGTGAAGCTCATCCCTACAGGAGCTTGAGAAAGGTGAAATGGGTTAAAAAAGGATCAGACACAGGCAAGGAGTGCTCACGCCCAGTGATTCAGATGCAACTTTTCACTCAGAAGGCCGTAAGCCCTTGTGAATTTAAGCATTTATGAGGGAAGGGATTAAAACAGACCTGCTTCATTCCTTGCTTTAAGTGTTTGTCACGGGGAGATGATTGTGAAAGGCAGTT